TAATCGACAGTAGTAAATGTCTTCTACCGCAGTCCTTCATGACAAAAGTCTACAAGCAGTGCTTGTTGCCAGAGATGACCTACGGCTCTGAGACGTGGTCACTTATTATGGGCCTCATAAAAAAACTCAAAGTCACTCAAGGAGCTATAGAGCGAGCAATGCTCGCTATTCCTCTACGTGATTGAATCAAAAATGCGATCTGTAGAAGAAACAGCCGGCCATTTGGGCAGGAAGGTTTTCGAATAGAAATTACGAACCGGAAGGCGTTCAGTGGGACGGTCCCTACTAGATGGACTGATGACCTCGTAAGGGCGGCGGGTAACCGATAACCCTTCGCATTCGACGGCTAGTCTGGCAATCTTTGGTGGAGGCCTATGTACAGCGGTGGATATCTTCCAGCTAATATGATTATGATGATGAAATGTTTCAGTGTACTAATAGAAGATATAGGAGCAGTATAGGTACTTGTGAAAGAGTTCGTTCAAGAAAATATTGTCACCTTACCCATTTCTGTTGCCAGAAGCAGTAATTGTGCTGTTGAATTTACAGGCACATGAGACTTGGTCAACTTATGTCTCAGGGTGACTGGCGCAGTGGCAGTGTCCCTAGGATCTTTGCGATTTAAAGCTTTGAGTGGCACTGCAACTGCAATGGACAGGTGTGTCGCTTACCACCAGCGCACGACAAAACGATAAAAACTATCATCAATACGGCAAAGAACCCCACCTACAAATACGGCGCACAGAGTAGTTTAAATTAACTTTAACAAAATATATCCCGTAATTAATATTACCCATAAATAATATTTCGTAGTGAAAATTCTCGACCGCTTTTAGTGAAAATTTACATGAAGCACCGCGTTTGCGAAGACCCAGTGGTGCTCGCGTTAATTTATCGTCCTCTACGAGAAAATACGATACGAACACTGGTTTTTGTAGGATTATTATTAACAAGTAAGCAACAGAAACAAACAAAAAAAAGCAAAGTACAATCCTCTCAACATAGCACGTGACTTGCCATGTACGGACAACGGCACATCAGACTACACGTTTTTGTTCGAAAATCGACTCCAGTTCAACGGAACAAGATACGTCAATGTGTAGCTTGATCTGCTGGCGTGTGTACAAAATAAAAATTATAAGTAAATGTGAATTTCAAAAAATACAACAGCGAAACTTTTTATCCTTGCAATACAAAAAAAAAAAATCACTGAAATTCAGTATTTTTTTGTTTGAATCGGTTATACAGGCTGTATTATTGAAAGTGAGACATATTCATACAAGTCATAGTAAATCATGTGACAACTTAATATAGCCTAAAATAAAATTAGGATATGGGATAGAACAAAACATAAAACAACAAATTTGTTTTGGAGTGTACATAGGAATAAACCGATTCCCTTTACGCTTGATTTCGAGTGCAATGGGAATACTACCAAGCGAACGCCGAGTGAGACAGCAACAATAACAATAATTTCACATCTCCCTTCCTACTAAAAACACCTCTTTTCTCTAGAAAGTAAAAACTAAGTTACTCATCTACGCATATTTATGTTTTGATTGGTTTTGAATGATTACGTTTTAGCTTATGCTAATTATTTTTTACTCCTGAACTATCGTCGAAATGTTTTACGTTCTAAAAAAGATAAGTTTGTGATTTATACTGTGACTAATTATTATTTAATAAGGATTGAGGTTTTTGGCGTAGTTAAAAATGTGAAGTCAAATTATTTACGATGATTGATTTTTTAGTTATTTACAGTTTATTTACACTTACGTAGTACGGAGCACGTGTTCAAAATGTCCACCGTTTTCCACAATGCATAGTCTAGCACGTCCTAGAAAATTTTGTTTTAAATTGTTCAACACAAACACATTTTGTCTCACAGTATAAAATGCTGAGATAATCCTCTCATGCAACACTTCAACACTGTTCACCTCCTCCATGTAAAACTCCGATTTGGGAACATTTTAATAGCTCGTCTCACACTATCACCACTTATTGCGTAAAGTCGCACCATCTGAGTCAATTCGACGTTAGAATAAATATCTATTTTGCGCGAGCGAGTGGAAGTACAAATAATTTACGTATATTCACTAGACCAAGGTCGCGCGTGCACTATCTTTATGCGCCCGCGCCCCCACCCCCGACCTGCTGCTGTGCTTTGATTTTCGCCGCCGTGTCGCAGCTCGCCGTTGCGTCGGAGCAATAATAGTGATGTGCATAGATTTTGATAACTAATGTTGTTCACAAGTAGTAGTCGATAAAAAAAAAATTTTTTTTAGGAAATGAAACTATTTTTCTGGATTTAAATCGCGTATATTTGTTTTTTCAAAGAAACCAACGTTTCGGGCCCTTTACAGTCAACCGTGACCATGGCACCTGTAAAGGGCCCAAAACGTCGGTTTGTTTGAAAAAACAAATATACGCGATTTAAATCCAGAAAAATAGTTTCATTTCCTGTGTGTAACAATCGCGAAAACCTAACAACTCGATAAATATTTTTTTGTAAAGTTTAAGTTCATTAGTTTATTATTTCTTTGGGTTCAGAATCAGGAATATAACGCACTGTATAAGTATGTCCCACTTTGAAATATACAGCCTGTATGTGTCATTAAAAATGTCTATTTCAACAAAATCACTATTAATTTCATTATACTCTCTGCATAAGAGTAAAATTGGGGAGTTTAGAACGAGATTAGTTCTACAATGCGGAATATTTTTAAATTTTATATCTTGGTAGATGACTTGGTACGGCGAGACCCACTTTATCAATGATTTGTTTACAATTTATTTGACCATTAAATAGTTTATGCAGAAAACAAAGATCAAGTAATTTACGTCTTTTACATAATGATGGCATTTTATAGAATTTTAGACGGTTCTCATATGGGTGTTTATGAGAGATATCTGGGCAATAAACGCAATATGTCAATTTCAAATGATGTATATGTAATTTGTGTGCGGATTATCATGGACTACACAACGTAGTCTGGCATTTAGTACCCAATGGTACAACAGATGTTGGGACGAGTACGAAATAGCTATTTTTTGTAATTTGTGTACATTGACAAACTGCAATTTATCAAAGCTACCTACTTTAACTTCTAGTGATAAGAAACAAGAAGACTAGAGATTCACTCACCTGATGATGCTAGTCGGGCTCTGATGAACACCATGAGAAGCGGAGCGGGATACAGAAGCGGTTTCTTTATTTCAGAAAAATTGCGGACATGCTTGACAAAAAGGATAATTTGAATGAACGATGGATTATTATTTTTGTACGCGGCTGATCAAAGAAACCTCTACTGCAAATACCAAAGTGGATTTAATGCGTAACCAGATCAATATGTGAATATTACAAGGAAAAAAACTGACTTCTTGTATTTCATATTAAAGAGGAATCAATTGAGTAATTTGATACCCACGCCTATTTATATAACTACTTCCAAACTATTGATCAGCGTCATCTTGACATAAGACGGATTTTTGACCTTTTTCAGAGTTACGATCTGTAGAAAGGTAAGTAACAGTCCACTTGAGTTATTGGTCCAGATATTTTAAGTAATATTACACCTACACGGCAGGTCAACGTAACCAAAACTGCTATATCAAGGTCTCAAGTTGTTAATTTCTACAATAATCACTTCGATATCTCTTGTTCTTGAAATTGGATATCAGAAGTGAAAACGAGTTTTTGGTGTGCATCAAAGTCTAGTCGACGTAATCTAATAAAGCTAATGCTGCACTATCAAATCTTCGGGTCAGTTTTTTTCATGATATCGCTTGACGGGGCGAACAAGTGTTGTCCCTAAATAGTCAAATTCAAAGTCTAAGTCAAATCATTTTTATTTCTAATGTAAGCAAATTGCATTTCGAATCGTCATATTGATTTTAGAATAGAATAGAAATCATTTATTGCAAAACGGTACGACGCAAAAATACACAGTAAGAAATTTAAAAATTGTTTTTAGTGCTCTTCCCGCATAACCAAGACGTTGATAGGCAGGGGCACTATAAACAAAAACTTCTGTAGAAAGATATGGGACAGCTCATTCGTAAGGCAGATTCCCCTGAGAAGAATGAGCAAGAAACTCTAGGGGTTGCTCTTTCTAAATATACATTTATCATTTACTATACTATATTTATTTCTTCTCTTCTCTTTCTCTTAGATCGAGAATCTAAACGGGTTACTACCACGGAATTTCGACATCCAAGTACGTAGAAGCTGTATTATTAACCTTTGGAATAAAGTTTTTGCTTCACTATAGTATTATAAACCTCGGAAATGGCAAATTTTCGGTGTCACCTGGAATCTTATTACAGAAGCGTATATATTGAATATGTTAAATGAATTTGTGACTTTGTGAAGACAACTATCAGGAACCGCTAGTTTGTTTTTGTTTTTGGTCTCATTTGTATACGTATATGAATTTTGTCACGATATATATATATATATAGATATGTTAGGCGGCGCTGGTCGCAATGCCGGGCAGAGTATATTCGATCGATGTTTACCTAAAACTGACGTAAGTACGTCTTTCACTTGAGATTAACATTTCACATTAACCATTTTTTGCTTAGTTTGTAACTTTTAAATCCAATTTGAAATTAAAGTAGTTTTTTATTCGAAATATTTGCTTTTTCCTCTTAGTCTAGAAAAGTATGTATGCTATCAAAAATCCTAAAAACCAAGTGGCAACAGCAGTTCATCAGTGCCACGCCGGTCATGTTATATGGCTAAATACGTGGAATGTAACACCTGCCGATCATTTTCACCCCCCACGGCCCCAATAGGTAGATGAGATGCCGGTCATTTTAACCCACCACGGCGATGAACGTGTTAATGGCAAAGACCTGAGGGGCATAACGTTGAGAAATCCCAAGTGCCTACAGTTTCACCAGCACCCTTATCCTTCAAAACAAGATCGCAATAATGCGCACATTATTGCTTGGCGGCACAAATATGATGGCAGCACTTATTTGGACGAACTTTTTTACTCGAGGCACTAGCCTCTTGAGAACCGGATGAAGTTAGTGACAACGGTGTGTGACAATCTTGTACACTGGCTGCATTGGGGTCAGAACCTGAACTTAGAAGGTTCCTGTGCACGCATATGTTATAATGCGCATCTCGTGTATCCTAAAGGTCCTGTAGGGAGGGTCAATATAATCAAAACTTATGAGAAGGAAACGGAGGCTGCTAGGCAGGGGTCTCTTCACTGATGAGGGTTTAAGCCATAATCCGCCACGCTAGCCCAATTTGGGTTGGGGACTTTAGATGTTTTTCTGAGGTTTGTGATCCTTTATCGACGTGCCGGTTTCATCACGATATAGAAAGGCTCTGGTAGGCTCTGGTAAATTGATAATTAAATTTCGCACATAAGTTCCGAAAAAATTGAAAAGAGGTGCGAGCCCGAACTCGAACCCACGGCCTCTGCTTGAAAGGTTACCACGGCTTTTTGTGAGACACACTAAGATTTACATTATTGAGACATATATTGAAATTGGTTTTGAAAAATAAAAATGAGTTTAATCACCTCCAAGTAAAGAATTCTTTATAAGGACTGTTTTTCTGCACAGCGGGATATAATGGCGTCTTGTCTATCGATACTAATGACCCCAGCTCGCATAGTTCCTCCTGAGTGAACTGGCGGGATATCAGTCTGTTTGCGCTGCTCACTTCCGCGTGGAATGCGTAGCCTGGAAAAAGCTAAAAGCTAACTTTCTTTTTCTAGAAGCTTTTTTTGTACCAAGTATATTATTTGTAAGTTTAAGATTCACAATACAAACAGAGAGAAATATAAAAATATTACAAGGTAGTAACAGGCCCGTAGATTTAGAGTTAGATTCAGCGTTAAAAGTGACTGATTGAATGAATATTGGCACTTCTCTATGAAGCTTGATGAATACTATATAATTAATATTCCTTTCCATAACGTCTGCTGTAGTCTGGGCAACACCAATTGGCAGATCCTTTCACCACTAGGACAAACATTATAAAAAAAAGGTAATATGTCAACCTCTGTACCTCCAGCTTTCATAAACTCAATGCCTTTCTCTAGGGTTACTAGCAAGGGCGCACCTTTCTTCTTATTAAACACTTTCTTTTGCCGCATTTCATCTTCTACTTTTGCGTTACGTTTGTTGAAATAGTAAGTAGGTACCTGAAACAGCTCATCCATCTCATTTATCAAAACATACTTAAAGTATATTCCATTAACGGTGTTAATTTGGTATCATTCAGATTGTATATCACAAAATTACTTTGTGAACAACCTAATCGATAATACAGTTCACGCGGTACTATATGGGGGTTAAAAAAAATGAATACAAGACACATTAGACACTTATACCTCGGATATGAAAATATCGCCACACTTGAAGCGAAAATATCAATTACTAAGAGCGTCAATTTTAAAGCGTCAAAATGCACCTACGAAGTTTGGTAATTCGCTTACAGCAACTTCGGTGGTGGGGGAAAGTCTAGTAGAATTCCTTTTACGAATTAAATGGTTAATATTATTGTTTAATATTATGGGTGGAATATACTTTAAATACGTATTAATAATAATAATGGATATTAATTTATTCGCTTTCAGTAGTAACCAAATAACAAATAAAAACAAAATAATTTGTTTCAAACGCTGACGCCCGTAGCGACAGTTCCGTGCACACTATGGAACTTTCTCGTAGGTATAATTGTTTTCGTAGCGAATTTCACTGCAAGTTGCAGCGTTACTTTGTGGCCTATTGTAAATAAAATCATATATTTGTAATTGACGCTCGACACTGACGCCTCTAGCAATTAATGAATTTTCTGGAAGCGTCGCGACTCGTGGCCTCCGGGTTAGACTTTCCGACTACATTGGAAATGCCGTGATAAATCCGCACAACCAAAACCAAATTATTGATTTTACACCCTATCAGCATTTAACCGACTCACCCAGTCCCATTCTTGCCCATTCATTTAAATGTTTACATAATAATTTAATTAATTGTAGATGCAAGCCAAAAGAAAGAGAAAAATGTGTTACTTATCTTGGTCTCAAAGTAGATGAATATTTTTCTTGGGCCACTCATATAGATTTTATTTCTAACAAGTTAAGAATACTGTTGGGTAAATTTTGTTACTTAAGTTTCAAAGTGCCAACTAGTACGTTAAAATGTTTGTATATGGCAATGGTGGACTCCATACTAAATTATGCCCTTGATAGCTATGGACTTACATTTAAGTCATACATTGACAGGCTAAAGAATATGCAAATTAAGTTTTTAAAACTTCTTGTAAACAAAAGTTAAATGTAATGGTGACTATACTAAATTATTCAAAATTTGTAAAATTCTTCCGATTAGATTAGTCAACATAAATATCCTCTGACTGTCAATAACCATAGTGCAGAGGTGCGTGACTCGTTGTTGTGTACGGTTGGTAACAAAGTCAAAGTCAAAGTCAAAGATTATTTATTCCATAGGTAAAATAAATTTACACTTGAAAACGTCACATTTAAGGTACTGCTCGTTCACTACGCTGACCTCCCTGAGAAGAACGAGCAAGAAACTCTAGGGATTGATCTTTTCAAATAAACTTAAATGCTATGGAATACATTTTGAATCAAATTTGTGTGGATTCTGGAGCCATGTACAACTATAATACAAGGTCGATAACCTCTGGAAAATTTGTAATCCCAAGAGTAACTAACTACTATGGAGATAGGACCTTAAAGAAACGTATTCCATACATATTAAACAGCTTATCAGAGGTTATTAGACATGAAACTAAAAAATGTAAATTTAAAAAAATTTTGAAAGAGCATTATTTCACAAATTATTGTTGAATAGTTAATAATCATATTGTTTAAGTGTTTTTAACAACATTAGAGTCAGTTTGTAACTTTTTGCTTAATTGAGACTCATTTCGATCCTGCAATCAAACTGTATATACAGTTTTGTAGGACTATGTTTATTTAAATATATTGTATCCCTCTTTTCTTAAATTCAAATAAATAAAAATAAAAATAATAACATTGGGTCCAGGAAAAAAAGATGACCGAAAATGAGATGGACAGATAATATCGCCAAAAATGTAAGGAGCTGCCTATGTTTGTTGTTGCCATGTTTCTGAAAATTACCCATTCAAGCGAGCAAAGTGGAGGGAAACACATGGTATGCAGATCCCACTATCAAATGGAAATTTCATTCATCAAACAATAGATTTCTAGATGGTGTTTTCATACCTGTAGCCAAGATTTTGCATATCCAATATCCTGTAGAACCAGCTCAAGAGGACTGTCCAAAAGTTCCTCCAGCGAGTTGATCGATGGTGGAGGCCCGTTCAGCAACCAACTAACGACGCTGCTCGTGTAGTAATTGTAGATCAGAAGACTTGATAGGCCGGTCACTAGCATTGTGATTTCACGAGCTGAAAATGAAAGACAAACTGATGCAGAATACAGTTTCATTGTTGTCGATTTGACGGAAGCGTTCGGGCTTTTGCTTGAAACAAATTATTTTTTATTTTTTTTATACGTATAAAAATGAATGTAATCATAGATTGTTTTTTTTTTTTACCTGAAGATAGTCTTTTTGTTTCCACCATACCACAATCGAAAACTAAAAAATATATAAAAATAAATTTAACCATTTCACAAGATAAACGACAAGAAATAGACTGACCACCATAAGCTCGACTCTATACTACAGAACTAAGGAAGAAAACACTTTCTGCAGGCCATAGCTTATTGTGGTCAAGTTCAAGAATCAATAACACTGACATTGCTGGCAAAACGAAGCCAATACCGAGAACAGGGCATATTGGACACCAGAAGTGCGACCTTCGATTTTAGATGTAATAAGTAGTAAGATTCCACACAGGTTGATCATTGCTATGACGCAATACCACACAGACTTTGTTAGAGGCCTTAGAAATTGGTTCTCATACTTTCCTGGGCCAGTTGTGGGAATGCGATAGTAGAATCTTGTCCTGAAATGGAAGATACTGGTCATGCACATAAAAATATAACTCAAGAAAAGGTCATTGGAAAGATTCCAAATAAAAAATATCTTTGCTTAAATTTATCATATAAAATTAATGTCACTTCTGTGGTCACAATGAATTATTGTTAAGACAAGTTATCGGTAATATGTTTTTAAGAACAACTAGTTTACTACATTCTACGAAGATTTTTAAACTTGATAATAGTTTCGCGTTCGTCAAAATATCCGGGTAAGAAGTATTTATTAGAACACATTTTGTTTAAAATTTACCAATTTTTGGGCTATACCATAATCTAGGAGGGGTGTTCAAAAAGTATTGAACCTTTTTTTTGGCAAAAAATATATTTATCTATTTGGAAATCCCAAATACTAATCTATTTCAAAGTAATTTCCTTGGCAATGCACACACTTCTCCCAGCGCTCCTGCCATTGTTGGAAACGCTCCTGGAATGCAGTTTTTGGAATGGTGAGCAACCGTTCAGTCGCATTCCGCATGGTGTCGTCTCTTGACTCAAATCTGGTTCCGCAACGGCATTTTTCGGTTGTTAAACAGCCAAAAGTAACAGGAAATTAAGTCGAGTGGATAGAGAGCCTGGCAAACCACAGGAATGTTGCGTTTGGCAAGGAAAGCCTGATTCAAATACGCAAAATGAGCAGGTACATTACCATGATGGAGCTGCCAAGTTTTTTCTACCCATAGATTCGGTCGTTTACACAGCACAGCATCACGAAGGCGCCGAAGGATCTCGTGGTAATATACGTTTGTGATCGTTTGGCCTTGTGGGAAAGAAATTTCCCGCGCTCCATTGGATAACGCGGAACAAACAAGGTTCAATACTTTTTGAATCGTGTACCGATTGTTTCTTATTACTTACTCAATACAATGGAGTGGTGGATAAAGGAAATCTATTTTCCCAAAAACGCTTTCAAGTAGACGAATCCCTGGAGCTACATCCTGCTCCTTATAATATAGTTCTGTTGCTATAACCTTGATATTGAAATAAAACAATTAGATTAAGGACTTTCAATTGTGAATGTAATTATAATGTACCAATTTTTATCATATAATTGTGATGTGAAATGATACTATAGATTTTTTTTATAACAAAGTCACGGGACGAACAAGTCGTGCGCCTGGTGGTAAGCTACGTACCTGTCCATAACAGTTACAGTGCCACCCAGAGCTTTAAATTGCAAAGATGTGAAGTGCACAACCACAGCGCCTGTCACCTTGAGCCATAAATCTCATGTGCCTGTAATTTCACCAGCACCCTTACCCTTCAAAACCGGACAGTAATGCTGACATTACTGCTTGGCGGCAGAAATAGGTAAGGTAGCAGTATAATTCTGGACGAACTCTTTCAGAAATAGCTCTACTGCTACTAAATAATGAATAGTAAAGTTTTGCAGTGCAGCCCTGGCGCCTAAATTAGGTTGATACTAGGATAAGGTTGAAATTAGGACGTATATTTCAGGCCGCTCTCTAATTTCGTAGGAAATAAGAAAACCATAAGTTTAGGTGATACAGTGGACATAAAAGGTCCACAGACGTGATACGTCTGAGACAAATTTGTTTCTTTAAAAGCTTTATATTTATAAGACTAAATCGAAGGATTACCGCCAAGCGACATTTGAGCATTTGATTAAGGGTTCTGGTGAAGCTGCAGGCACATGATATTTGTCAGCTTTATATCTCAGAGAGGCGGGCGCAGTGGCAGTGCCCCTCGAATCTTAGCAATTAGAAACTCTGAGTGACACTGCAACTGTTACGAGTAGTTAGCCCCATCTCTTGGTATCATAAAAAAAACAACCTCATTTAAGATCCAAAATCAAAATAATTTATAGGATGGAAGTAGATAGCAATGACTTACTCCACTGTTTCGATGACCGAAATTATCAATCCATTTTGAGGCTGGCTTGTAAATGAAGCTGAAATTTAATAGAGAAACAGATTCAAAAACTTTTTTTAAACCATCTAATGATTTTATGTATTGGTCTGGTAAATGCCTATTAAGTTGAAGGAAACATAATTTACTACAAATAATAAGGTTTTTATACTTAGTGTAGACATACTACCTAATCATATGATTAAACAAAGTATGATAAAATAAATGTTATCAAAGAACTATATCAAACTAAGGCAAGGACTGGTATCTCGGTGACAACTTATATAACTTGAAGAACTGACATTGAATGTTTACCTTTAGATTTAAAAACTAAAGTAAAAAAGCTTTAGCTTCTTTCCTGCTAGTGTAGGGAACTTGGACACAAAATAATATTTATGGCAGCAGAAATATCGAGATTTTGGGCTCCTTAAATCGGTCTTGACCAATTGTTACCTTACAGATGATGATATTCGGGGTATTTTATTTAACATTTGGTTAGAGAAGATGGATCAAACCTAATATTATGTAATTCCGCAACAGGTCTCATGATCATTCCAGGGATCCTGCTGATGTCAGGGCATTCCGGAACAGCCTTTCTTCCAAACATAACGTCAAGGTTAACTGTTGCATTTTGGGCCATCTGTGAAATGAATATACAAATGTAATAGACGCAATAAAAACATTGAATATATTTAATATTACTCGTCAATTCACTGCCAATAGTCTAAAGAATGTATAATGGGACATGAAATGTGTTACAAAAAGACTCTTAAATCCAATTACTGACACTTTTCTTGGGATGCACGAAAGGAGTCTCTTTGTAAGACGTACGTCCTTTCCTGTACGTCTCGCGTACCATGCGCAAATAATCGGCGAGAACGTTACTTCAATTGGCAAATACTTTCCACACGATGGCAAGCATTGCAGTATATGCCATCGATACAATAATCTTCTTATCGTATCGATGGCATATACTGCAATGCTTGCAATGATAACTGAAGTAAAAATTCGAAGTTTCTTACAATAAAAGAAAAAGAAATATACCAAAACGAGAGATCATGACAGACATATTTTGCCTTGCTTGCTGTCTTACATACTTTTCCGTTAAGTTTGTTTATAGTAAGTTTGCCTTTGTCGGCCCTTACCTACCTGTACGCACCACTTGCTTTATAAATCTTTTTCATCAATCTTTTATTCACCTTTTCTACTTGTTTGAACCACCTGTCCGCATCCCTTTCGCTGTATTTGTCACTACACCTTCTTTACCACTGCAACGTTCTCTTATCACACTTTTTCAGTATTTATATTAATATATGTATACATAACTACTTACAACGGATATCATCTTTATTGGCAACTCTTGAAAATCCCATCGTCGGTAATACTTATAACTATTAAAATCTATTTTACGGTTATAACCAGTGTCGACGTTCCATGATCCTGCATGGTTTATTGACAGAAAGCCACCTTGCGCTTTCCCGAAGTTGAAAATATCGTATAAATCATATGAGGAAAATCCTAAAAGAGATTATGACAGTACTGTACCTTGATTATTGTCTAAAAGATCTATAAAAGCTTAGAAAATAGAAAAGGACGCTATGAGGTAAATATTTTCAATATGTATTATATATATAGGACAAGTATATATTATGTATATGACATCATTCTGTCCCGAACTTTTTTTCGCCTTCATGCTGCTTGATGTTATATGCGACACCATTGATTTTCCCGGGATCAAACTCGGAATCTCCTTATCCAGCTTATGCGCAAACCGTTGGGTTAACAAAGGATCTCTTAAGTGGATAACTCTACGACATAAAATGTATTTAGAAATATGTATTTCTGGTCATTTTCATCACACTATGGAAACATGAACACCTTTTGTCTGTTATAATTATATTAAGTGGACTTACTCTTAATCACTACCTGGTCTTGGAACAAAGATGGGGTCTACAATGGAACAAGCTTCCCCAAAAAAGGCCTATTCAATCGCACCTTAAAGACATAGGTTTCATACTTAAGTCTAGGCATTTGGGCAGTGAAAACAAAATAAAAAATGATTATTGGTTTAGTAGACTTTTTAGTACTGTTTTAATTAAGTGATTTAAGTCTCAAAAGTCTCGATATTCCCAAGGCTGAAAACATCAATCAATTATCGCTGTAGGTATTTGTGTTCAGAAACAAAGACGTCTGCAGGAAATTCCATTTTTTGGTCGTACGCATTATAAAGATGACAAGAAGCACTTGGTACACCTGAAAGGATTATTAACCAAGAAAGGATGACTGCTGATAATGAAAAAAAGAGATGAAGACCAAGAGAATGGCATTTAGTGAACAAATAAAGAAGCAGATCAAAGTGAACAACTAATAAGAGGTCAAGGAGCTGGCCATGAACAGTGAGGAGTAGAGGAGGCTACATTGTCAAGAGGATATGTATGGACATTCGATAGCAAAAAGGGGAGGGCACAATGATCTTCTTTTCAACTAATGACTTTTAATGTGTACGTTATTAATAGTTTTACCTGTTTTCACCGAAAGTATAACATCAGTGTCCACACTTAAGTTCAAGTTATTAAGAATCCGAAATACATCATCGCCGTCAGTAATACTGTTGTTATAATTTAGCATAAATAGATTGTCTTCGTCCAGCGACGACGTTGTATTGAATCTAGTTGTAATGTTGTCAATTGACGGGTTGGTTTCTATATTATTAACTTCATTTACATCATTGTTATTAGATACGTTTGTTATCCTGTTCTTGATGAATAACCATTTGTGCGTTGCGTCAAAATATTGGTTTTGAGACGCCTGTAAAATTAAACTCTATTTGTTAATGAAATTGTGTAAAGACATATTTATATAATAAAAACTCTATTTTTAGTATTTGTTATAAAAAGGTGCAGTTAAACTTCAGATGGTGAACATATTAATGATAATGAGTTCGACATTGAGAGTTCTTATGATATGGCGTTCCTAATTCATATTTATTATTTTTGGCACTTAATATCTGTTTTTTACGACTAGTATATTATGATGCTAATTACAGAATATCATGGCAGCTTAAAGAGCATGACGTGACAAAGTGCGTTTATGATTTAATAAACTAATTCAACACAGATGATTGTGGATAAACGATAAATTCAAAGGCGTTTACTATGTATCACTTTAACCTTCTAGATCCAGCAAACCACGATGGGAAAAGCGCTGAACGCTCATTGTACATAAAAATGTCTCTGTAATTTTGTTTGTATGAAAGAAATTGAAATTGAAACGAAAAATGTAGACACTTTCTGCAAACGCAGTAATATAAACCTATATTATACGCAAAATATGGAATTGAAAATATTTTATTAATTATGCTTCATTATTTCATTATTACACTTTTTCCTTTTCCACTTAGTAAAAAAATTATCGTAAAATACTCAATACTAGGTAAGATATGCGCAAGTAACCACTTACGCCTTTTCAACTTAGCATACAACACTATTGTTAACGTTTGTGTAATAATAAGACGAAAGGGCAGCATGTAGTTACAATAACTTTTCAATGTGTCGTATCTTGAAATTTTCAAAATTTTTATTACTGGATACAAAACTGGATACAATTCAGATATAAACTACAAATATTTCATTTATAATAGTAACACGATAAGAATGTATCCTACTTGATGTGAACACAACATGCAACACAGGCCAAAATAACTGTATAAGCATCAAAATATGAAATAAGTGACAGTAATTCTACATTTCAAGTATTTTAAGAAAACTCAACAAAGTCAGTCGTGTAGTTAACATAATAGACATTTTCTAATTGAGTTCCTAGCTGAGACAACAGAACCAGTGAAAGTATCGAAATCAAGGCGGATAACATTGTAAGAAGAACACATGCGATACATTGGACAGTGTTGACCGAGGTTAGTTCTACAAATATGGAGCGAAAATGTTTTACGATTTTGCAGACGACTGCCAGGACGGGGGACGGAGAAGCGTAAACGATGCAAGATGTCAGGTGCAGCTATAATACCATGAATAATTTTGAATAAAAACATTACATCGTGAGCTTTACGGCGCTTTTGCAATGAGAACATGTTGTAGTGAGAGAGACGTGATTCGTACGAGAACAGCTGTTTACATTTAAAATCATTGTATGTTAAATGATAGAGGAAACGTTTCTGAACACTTTCAATTCTATTTGAATGAACCTGGTAATTTGGGTTCCAGACAGTAGAGCAATATTCCAAAATACTGCGATTTAAACTGTTATAAATTAAAATAGATACAGTTGGCTCGTTAAAAATTTTCCTTTGTCTTGATACAAAACCGGTTAGCCTAGAAGATTTGCTTTTATGAAAGGTAACATTTTCAATTTATTTTAAATTTATGTGAGCATTGTGTAACTGTCATCTGGGAAATTAACATTTTCAATAACTACATACATGTACAGCCTTAACTGAGGAAGATTTAGAAAGTTAAATGTGTCTTGCGTCTTTTCGTTTACTGAAGTGATTGAAATGTGTATCTAAAACGAAACGATGTATCTATGCAATTACGCCTTTTTACCAATTTATTTTGTAAATGCGTCCATTTAACTTAGTTTGACCATAAAAGTGTAGGTACTTACGCCCTTTTCTCTTACGGTAACTTCATAACAAATCCATCTCGGAAAATAAATAAAGTTGTGGTAGATTCGTATTTATTTGCTGATCCTTCTTTGACAAGAACGGTTAATAATACAGAACTCATTCAGGACGCTGCAGTTATACTGTCTATTCGGTTTTTGTTTACTCAAATAAAAAGACACCGAAGATATTGGATACATCCCTTTTTACGAACCAGATCGATAAATGGATAATTTCAACTTTATTGCAAAGATTTTTAAAAAATATGAAGATAAATTTGGTCGATTTTCAATGGCAAATATAAATTTATCGACGTCGAGATCTATTGTAGAAAACTGTACATGTCCTTAAGCTTAAAATCTGCGCGGTAGTGTGGAGAGCAGTGTGCCCTACCCTCCGCGCGAGGGCGCGGTAAAACCGCGCGCTCCGGAGAAGCGTTGTCAGTGTGTTCGACGGCGCGTGTTTTCCATAAAAACTCCGTAGCGAGGCGCGGTCCGGTGTGATAATAGCCTTAGAAAAGACAAAATTGTCCACATTGGTCCTAATCGGACACGGGACTTTTGCATCAGCGTTAGGCTACCGAGGTCGTCAATTTTGATGTACACGGGGCTTTACAATTTTTTTTTATGATTACCAAGCGACGACGGGACAAACAATCCGTGCGCCTGATTATGAGTAACACGCCTATCAATTGTATTGCCACTTAAGCTTTATTTATTTATTTATAAAGGTACACCAACAGCATAAATATAGTTTTGTTCAAAAAGGTTTATGGTAAGAGGAATTGTTCTTATACATATGCCTATTACTGGCACACACAACTTTGTAGAAATTAATTAGTACACAACTAAGTGTGTATACATGTTAATTGAAGAAGGAAAATATTATTATAAAATACCTAATTATAAATATAAACAAAACAAGAAATCATTTTTCCGGATTTAAATCGCGTATATTTGTTTTTTCAATTCAAATAAACCGACGTTTCGGGCCCTTTACAGGTCCCATGGTCACGGTTGACTGAGGTGGTACAGTCTTCAACCAGTTATGTCTAATATTGATGCAAACCACCATATTTTTTGACTATAGTTACAATAGTTATTAATTAAATACCTTATTTTTAATTTTACAAAGAAAACATTCCAATTTACGCTACATTAAGTTTTACAAATTATTTTATTGAATGAATTTTTATTAAGTTCAATTTATTATTAATTATTAATAGAAATTAGAATAAACTAAAACATATTAATTAGTACTGCAGTCTTACGTCTGTTTGGGATTTTTCATTAGAGGAAATACTGGATCCCAAACTGGTGGTACGGAGAAACCGTCTTCCCTGTTGAAATTAGGATGTTTTTTAATTTCAATGGCCTCTCGCAGCATCCTGGGTAGATAACGGACTTCTTTTGCAATGTGTAGGTTTACCAATGACATGCTCACTTGTAGTGTGCAGACTGCAGACTTGTTTACGCGACGATTTAAATCCGGAAAAATAGTTTCATTTCCTATATGTAACAATCGCGAAAACCTAAGAACTCGATATAAAACAAGAGATCGTTTCCTGTTTTTTAAACAACACAAAAATAAATATTGAAAACTTAAAACACTTACTGATTTAACGAATATAGGATTACAAATTATGATGCGGTTTCAAAGTATTGTCAGCAGTTTTGTTTTAAACATTTTTAGGGCGTCGTTGAAGATATCCAGCTTTGCTTGGTTTACAGATAAACGGTTGTAATGGGAAGACATTCTCGAGAGTGGATGATGGAAACCTAAATTAGTTCGTCATGGGGGAATGCTCGGCATGGGTACTGAGAGCATTACGTTTTCAAGTATTGCAGAACTTGATATCTCACCATTTACTAATTTATGTAGAAAAGACAAATCAGCTACAATTCGTCGATTTTGTAATGGGAATATTTAAAAAAATTAATTCTTTCGTCATAAGGACGTCTATGTGATATGTTAGGTGAAATAACAGCTTTGTAAAGGCACGCTGAATGTTTTCTATACGCTGAGAAGGGTCGGTGTACATTGGATTCCACAATGTGGAGGCAAATTCAAGGTGAGAGCGAACTAGACTATTGTAAAGTATGATTTTCGTATTGAGTTGATGGAAATTACACGTGTTTCGTCTAATAAAACCCAGCATTCGCGCTGCCTTATGAATGACTTAATAATATGATAGATAGATAGATAGATAAACACTTTATTCACTGATATAACACAAATACAGATTAAGCATAAAAGAAAAAACAAAACATGATTGTCATAGCAGTGGAACGGCGCTCTCAGCATATGCCAAAGTTTCCTAAGGCGTTGGTTTTCAGTCAGAACCAACGAGAGGGATTAAGTTATTTGAAAGCAAAAATATAACGACTACGAGTAAAGTTATACATTGACAATAATAATATACATAGCAAAGTGTAAATAGTGCATCTAAAATAAACTGTTTGACATGTAAGTGCATGAGCAAATGTGAATATAATTACAGCTGTAGGGGTAAGTTATGACTGTAAAGAGTATATAATAATAAGCTTTAAATCGCAAAGATCTTCTAGGCAGACCTGAAGTTGATAAGTCTCATATGCCTGTAATATCACCAGCACTCTTCAAAACCGGGATGCAGTATTGCTCCCATTACTGCTTGGCGGAAGGAATAGGTATTGTGTTAATACTTCCCTAGACGAACTCTTTCACAGGTATCTCTAATGTCTAGTCTTTACAGTTTTAACGGATACTCACAAAATCAACAGCTTCTTCAAACTGAGAACATTCAGCATTAATATAGACGCCAATAGATGTAAATTTTTGTTTCAAACATTTGTCAATTGCATTGTAATTTTGTACACGAGAGTCGATTTTCACATGTGATACAGCTATGGAGACTACAGATGCTCTTTTTGTGAATTTTGCAGTCCCTAAAAGCGAGCAAATAGGAAATATTAACTCAGTTATGATAGTCTCTTACCCACTGATCCTGCTGTAGTCTTGTCGAGATTATTGTTAAGAAATTAATTCCGCAGACATTTTCATGGCATGTGATAGCGTAATTTTTTAATTTTTTTTTTAATAATACCAAGTGATGGTATGAACAAGTCGTAAGCCTGGCGGTAAGCGACACGCCTATCCATAACAGTTGCAATGCCATTCAGAATGTTAACACATGTTTTGCCACTAATTAAAACCAACCCAAAGGAAATGTGTCAGGGCCAGAGATGGCCAGTGGATTAAAACCCAATTAAGTCGTCCGGGTTTTTACCGGGTTTTTATCCAAAGTTCCCGGTCTGAATCCATTTCTGCCCAAATCGTGGACGAACGTACTTATTACAAATTTCGATGTAAAAAATCTTTCTTCGACGAAAAAGAAGCAACACCACACAATACCTACCTTGCAGTCCTGTGGACTTTCACTTCAACTAGGGATGCACATTACCAATCGATTTTTATGAAAATCGATTCAAGTGCACTTAATTTCCGAGAAACTCTGAGATTCGAACCCAAGGCTTCTGCTTGAGAGGCAGTAGGTGAAACCGTTACGCTACTATGACTTTTTGTATGGTTTATATTATTACATTTTGGTACAATTAAAAACTTTTCAAAGTAAGATATTTAAACAAGATTACAATTTAAATTGACACAAACATTAGCTTTCCAATTTTCACTTCGTTCGAAGAGGGCTCGCTAATGAAAATTGCTAGAAAACTTTTATCTCTTTGGATTAAGACGCTTGTTAAATTTTGTGAGAAATAATGTTGTTTTACTTGGCCGTGGCAAGTATTACAATGTCTTAAACGGTTTTGAACTACTAACCTTTACTGATACATTAAGAAATGTGTCGATAAACTTTTTTTAATGATGTCAAGTGACGGAAAGCTACACGTCTATCCATAATAGTTGCAGTGCCACTCAGAGCTTTAAATCTGAAAGATCTGAGGGTTACTGAAACTGCGCTTGTCACCCTGATACATAAGTTGACAAACCTGTAATTTAAAAACCGGAACGCAGTAATGGTAATGGTGGCTGTACTTCCCTGGACGAACTCTTTCTCAGCGAGCTCTAATACTAACTCAACACAAGTTCAAGGTTTTTTTTAAATATTTGATTACCAATTATAAAATTGATCAAAAGAAACTATTCTAATATGATGTTAAAAAAATTATCAAAAAACCTGATTTTCGTGAACAAAAAGTAGACAAGAATAACTACGGAAATACTAAAGAATTGGGTGAAAAAATACTTCCATACAGTTCTCACCTTCGGCATCAAAAAGTGACTTACGGCAAAAACGGTAAAAAAGTCATTGAAAAACCAAAAACAAAAGATCCGACAACAAGCACAGAAAAATTAGTGAGGTCCGCTGCTGGTTCGTGCCTTAGTTGGCGTAGCGTCTGGTATGGTTTGCTGGGAGACGTCGGTTCGAATCCGGCCGGATCGAAGGAATTTTTGCGGAGGAAGGAAGTTTTCGGTCGTTGTATTAATAATTATGAGAATAAATACTTACAATCAATATCGTCACACGCCAATAGGCAAACAAACTTAACGTTTCTGTAATTGAAATAATCAACAGAATACTGTATCGTGATATCGGCGAAACCAAGAGTTAAATGTAGACCAAGTACCGACAAAAGGTTTAGCAATCGCATTTTCGTCTCTTCATTGCTTTTGAACAAAGTCAAATGAAAAATATAAAGAAACGACAACGTCTGAAAATGATACGACACAAATTGATACGGCAATAGTACTTTCGTTGTCACAATTGTCATTAATAAAGACAGCTTTGATTGCGAATTCTCAGTTGATATCAATTCCGGTGATTGGTTTTGATAGTTGTGTCCTTTTGACGACTTGATTTGATGCATAAAATTGTAATTTGTAAGAAAACCATGGTCCTATTTAATGACGGCAATTTTTCTGTTAAAAATTTTACCGTTCAGAAAGGGAACACGTCGATGGTTTGGTTATATAGAAAGGCATAAATTTATAGAGTAAATACGGATGGAAATAGAGGGATGAGATAAACTTCGCCGTTCAAATCTTGATCAGATTGGAGATGTCCTTGAAAAGGGCAAGGTCAAAACGGGTATATAAGACGACTGTTGCAAGTGGAAGAGGCGAAAGAGGTTTGTCATGATAATAATAATAATATGCCTGACAACTACACCAATTGCCTGGTCTCAAACTAGGAAATTCCCTATACTTTGAATACCAGAACAACAGAATTCACTTTGTGGCACTTATTAGAATACCCAGAACAACCCACTTCTCAAATTGTTTTTACCAGGAATCGAACCCAGGACCTCTGCATCCAGAGTTTGCTGTCTAAACCCTTAGGCCAACGAAGTGGTCGATGGTTTGTATGTAGATATACTGGTCATAGGAATTTCTATACAGGGGGTGCACTTTCGTTCTACGTACGACATTCGTTCAAAACAATTAATGTCAAATAAGTAACACTCAACCAAATTAAAAGTACAATTTGGTCGAGTATAGGTACTCATTTGACGTAATTATTTTGGACGCATGTAGGACGGACGGAGAACTAGAGTACAGGGCCAGAGCTTGCTTGGGTAGGTACCTATGTGTACCGCAAGGCAGTACTACTGTGTTCCAAATTGAACAGTAGAAGAAGCCAGCGCAATCACAGTGCCGACACTTAGGAGTAATGTACTGCAAATGGCTGTTAGACAGCGGTAACTACTTTCCCGATTCATAAACAAGACAAAAACTTTGTAATGTGGAAAAGCGGGACTCCCGGCACAAGTAACTACTTACTTAAAACAATTGTTGAATCCAGACTATACTGAACCATGGCTTATCGCAATAGTTACTTCATATTCCTTTATTTTTTCGATGGTTCAACGTCCGTCCCCGTATTATGACGTAAACTAAAATAGTGTGGTGTTCAATCTTACATATGACTAATTAGAATGAAACAAATAGGGTACTGGGTGAACGAGCTGTCAGGCCTTTGTCGCGCAGATATTGTCAAGCCATCGCTTTCAATGATGCACTGTTGATATTTGACTCAGTTGACTCATGAGTTTCCTGACCACTGACCTAGTCGGTGGAGTGACTTTCATGGCCTCTATATAACAACTGCTACCTCTCATGGCCTCTATGTAATAACTGCTTTGAGAATTGAAAGGTAATCGTCCATAAAGTCTCGAAAATCTTTCGGAGACACGATCGTGGTGCAATGAAAAAAACGATGTAGAAGATACTTGAATTACTTTCGTAATTGTAATATTCTTTGACGTCATCTAAGTTTCGACGAAGTAATAGCCTGCGTCCACTGGTGTCATACTGGACAATATGCATCGCGTCATAGATTTTGCGGAGAATGTCCGGGGTATATATTGTTATATAGAAGGCTATAGTAAGCTAACACTTAGTAACTGCGACATGGGGACGTTTGGCCAAGTGCCAACTATAAATTTGCTCTTATACCGAAATCCTCTCGACAAAACCTACACGGCGTCAACATTGTTAGCATTCGAACTCTCGTATTCTGGTTGTGACGGCAAAAATTACACTTTCGGAAATGTTTTCCTACTATTCAAACATTTGGAATGTTGCTCTGGTTTTTTACATGTTTCCGATACTCATATTCCGATGGTCAGATACGCTATAGGATCTTAAATAATGATATTGTGCCAGACAAGTACCAGGTCTCAAAGTAAGTAATTTCCTGTAACATGAGTGCCAGAGCAACCTAATTCAAATCGAGATACTACGCAATACACCCAGACCAGAATCAATTTAGGTAATTTAATTTACAATTGAGAATTTGTCATCCAGCTTCCACTTTGAGAACCATTGGACTAACATTAAATAGAAGTTTAAACTTTAATTAATAATAATCATTTATTTCATAGTGATCCATAAATTATTAGTAATATAGAAAATACTTAGATCTGAACTGTAGAATGATGTCTGAAATGCATAGAGACTGCAACGCAAAAACAATAAAACATTAATTTTCTCGGGCGAACATCGGATCAAGTCGTCAAAGTCGAACAATGATTTGTTCCACAGGTAAAATTTTTACACTTGAAAACGTCATTTTTTAAGCTACTGCTCGTTCACTACGCTCACCTCTCTGAGTAGGACGAGCAAGAAACTCTAGGGATTGCACTTTTCAAATAAACTTAAATGCTATAGAATACATTTTGAATCATATTTGTGTGGAATCTAGACTCATGTTGTGTCTTTCCATACTACTTTATCTAACACATACTCTTTAATTTGGTAATATGAGTTTTCAATTAAAATACTTTTAATGTAAGTTTTAAACTTGGAAAATTATAATTTTAATATATAATCCGGAATCTAATTGTAAAAGCGTATACAGTTCCCCATAAAGTAATCGTTTACCTTAGTTAACCGAACTGTACCATGAAAGGTACCATGAGTTTGGACTTAGTTCTAAAGTTAATATTACAGATATCTCCTTTCTTAATGAAATTATGTATATTTTTACGGGCATACAAAATATTTGAGTAAATGTACTGTGATGCCACAGTCATGATACGTCCTTAAACTTTTCTCTGAGAGAAACCCGAGAACCTAAACGGTACACAGAACGAATCGCTTGTTTTTGCGAAACAAATATGGTTTGTATATCTGCCTTAGGAGGCACGTTAGGACGTGCGGACCTCGCTGAGGTGTTTAAATGCTATAGACGCGATATAGCGTTACTCCTTTTTACGAGAACTGTTAATCCACCGACACTTGTCAATTATTAAAATATACACGTATCACGACAACTTTAATTTACATTTAGTTCCGTTGCGCAACACTGGATGGCGCTAGTCATACTCTGAAACGCGCAAGCGTTTTGTTCTGTAAACTTGGGGTCCCTAGTCAATTATAAAACTTCTTGAAACAATTGACGTTATTGCTCGTCTATCTACGCACA